ACACTGGCATCACACCAGCACACGGCAACACCGCCACTGGCATCACACCAGCACACGGCAACACCACCAATGGCATCTCCATGCTTACCCACACAGGACACCCTATCCTACACATGGCACAGTTGCTGAATTGCCAAAAAGAAAAGAGCTGGATAACCTGAGAATGGTTTTGTTTTTTTTTAAGACAAGGGATAATCTAATGAAACCAATTCATCAGAACAACTTGGTCATTCAAATGCCCACTGTGCTTCAGTAAAGGTTTGAGGTCCCCCCAAGAAACTCCCAAAATATGGGTACAGTTAGTGTAACAATCGAATCAGTTAAATTGTTAGTGTTAATGAAGGACTCCGAGAATGTGCTTTTGTGTACTAAGCTAATGCGATTTGAGATTATTTCTAAAATACTTTACACCTGCTTTTTTATATGGAAACATTGTTGCTCAATCACCTGTAGTTCAGCAATTTGCATCTCCAGCAATTTAACTTTCAGATCTGCTTTTCAGGCACCACTTAAACACATCCCTGGGAACCGGCATTATGCTGAAGAAAGGTCAACACCACTAAAACACAGGGGGACCTTCACTCAGAATTGCTGGCTATCTATTGAGTCTGTTCAGAGAATTAGTCACATCTCTATCAACAGTGTATATGCCACAGCAGCTATTAATGTCAGTGGGTTCACCAACAGGAGAAATCTTGTTATGCGAAACTGCAGCAAGCTGTTTTCTAAGCAAGCACAACAAAATGTTTGTTCGTCCTGCTGCAGTGGTATTTATGTTCCTATTATTAATTTGTTCCTTTATAATGCCTGCATAAATTTTCAGGCATTATGAAAAAATGAGAAATTTTCAAAGCAAACCACGGGAAGAATCCCACTTTTTTTTAAACGGGGACGAAGATTAAACTACCCAGCTGTAAAACTCTCGTGTGACAGAGCGCGTGTGAGCTACAAAACGACTGGCTCCAACATGCCCAAGCAAAAATCACAGAATTGTGCCGGCAACTTTGACCAATCTCAGAGCACATGGAAGGACACTGAACTCTTGACGCGTCAAAAAGGCTCAGTCAAACCCTCCATCCCCACCGTCCCCCAGTCTCAGAAGAGACTTGATGTATCCCTACTGCACGACTGTAGCAGAGGAATGCCACTGTGACGCAGGCGGGGGATCATTACCGAATGCAGCAGGCTTGAAAGCCGCGCTTTACCTTACAGAAGTCCACATTCCACTTCATTGCTGAGCGAGACAAGCCAGGCTACAAAACCTTCACCTTGAAAGGCACCATGCAAACGTACACTGTTGTACGACTTAGGTAACGGCAGTTCTAGTTCATTCACCGGTTGTGACATGTTCCGATCAGGTACGGACACTTCAAAGGCAATCGGCTCTCTCCTTAAGATAGAAAAACTACGAACATGTCCTACAGCTGCTGCTGGCGACTCCTGGGAGGAAAATGACAGGCTATAAATCTCTCTGCAAGTGTGAAGTGTTAGTAGTACAAAATAATTCGGAAAGAAAGGATATCGCTAGATGACATGACACTCAACGCGCTGCGCGATTTCCAACACTTGCGAAAACCTTTCCAAATAAAACTTAAAATACTGTTTTTAGGATTTGTAACACGGGGATTTAAAAATACTGGTAACTTTAAAATGCCTACCGCACATGACAGGAAAAAAAATTAGAAACGTGTATCAGGGTTTAGAGAAATTGTAAAAGGACGCCGTTAAAAAAAAGCACTCAAGACGCTTATTTCCTCTGTCCACGGCGACTGGAAATACTCAGACTCGTTAGAAAAACTGCCGAAGTGCACCGACGGTCAAGTAAATCGTATTCTCCCACAATGTGCAGGAGCTTGGTAAAGCTACAAAACAGTATTAAACTTTCCCTCGCGATGCATTTTTTTTAAAGAAAAAATAAAGTTAACGTGCTCTCCTGTCGCAAACGCAGCCCCGCTGGTAAACACGAGCGCGAGCTGAGACGGCGCCGAGCGGAGCGAGAAGGAGCACCGCGCCGCGCGCGAGCAACGCCCCCCGAGCCGCAGCTCGAGGAATGAAACCTGTGAATCCGAGCCCAGGCAACTCCAGTGACAACAAACAAAGCCGCACTTTCTCCCGGCTGCAGAGCTTCAAACTTCAGCCGTGCACTGGCGAGAGCACTACATCGCAAACACATGGGCGTTTTTTCGGAGAGTAAACGGTTTTTTTTTTTCGGGGGGTTTATTGTGTTGGTAAAAGGCACACGCGAGAACCCCCCCTCCCTGCCAGAGAAGTGGGCGGGAAAGGGGAAGGGGAAATCGGTAGGGCTTCATAATCAAGCCCGGGGCGGGAGATGGGAGACGAGGCCAAGGCCTAACACAAAAAAAAGCGCTCCGTTTTCCCACTCACCCGAGCAAGCGTTTAAATTGAGGCATGACTTTGGCTCCAGCGCTGCCGTAGCGCCACTACCTGTTTCTCTTTCAAGACCGACTCCCCCAAACAAAGTCTTCAACTACACATTAATGAGTAATTTAGCCCCCAGGTAGAAGCAACTTGTTCGCAGCAAGGCAAAAAAAAAATACATAAAAAGGCACCACTTAAGGTAGATGAACTAAAGTGGAAGGAAACAACCAGGTAGCGGTGCTGATGCAATTTATAAGAAAGCAAAACAAAGGGGAAAAAAATACCTCGGTCTGCCTAGTTGATCTGTGCTGCCCGGAAAATGTCATGTTTGAAATCCCCCGGTAGGCAGAAGAAGCCGAGATTTAAAAACACAGCGCCTCGGTGTGCAGCACGACAGAAGAGTCAATATTTATTTACAGACACACAAACCCCCCGGAAAGCCGCGGGAATAGCGCCCCACTCACTTGCCAGGTGTCGGAGTGTGTCGTTCCCGACGTGGCTGTCTGTGCCTGGCTGCTACTCGGCGCAGCGAGAGCTGCCTGCTGCCTGTGGCCGTCTCGGACTCGCTGTGTTTAGGGACAATCTCTCCGCTCCTGCGCTGCTCCTCCAGTCGCCATTTCCCGCCTCCTTACCGACCCGCAGCACCGACACTCTCAATGGCAGAGACCCGGATGAGCCGTGTCCCCGCTGCGCAGGCGCAAGCACAGGCCGACCTCCGCTCCTCCCCTCCCCGCCACTTTGAACACAAACAAACTCCGCAGCGCCACCCAGCGAGCCCGTCGTCACAGGTGGCGACACGCGTGTGCTGCCGCCGTCTCCACAGCGCCGTGCCCTTCTGCTGCTTCATATCGCTCATTAAATCAGCCTTTTGTTGTCATAAATTTATCAGCTTTTTATTTGTATAGATCCCGGGGTATTTAATCCCTTTCAACTGGACTTTCTGCTCGTTTTAAAAAAAAACCCGAAAAGGCACTGTACAATCAAGCAAAAAACAAAACCAACAACAAATGACGGGTATATACAATTTTAAACATCAAATTAGAATTACAGGCTACAGAATTACAGGCAGGAACGTGAGTCTTCGGACACGATTAAAAAGTGCCGATTGACGTGTAAGATTTAATATTCGCTGGGAGATCACCCCCCATTCCTGGAGGAGAATTGAACTGGGAACTGAAAGAATCCCACAGCCCGGAGGCACGTACACGACTCGTAGGTGTATGGAGACACAGGCAGGGACGCATTGCTCAGACCCTTCAAGGAAGCACAGCCGTGTCCCGAACATCCTCCCGAAATCCCACAGAGACCCCGCGCATAGCGATCTGTGCTCATGCCTTTGAGTTCTGGTTGAATTCGACATCGAAACGCTGAGATGTGAATAACGCATCAGCTTGTTGAGAACACGTTCGGATACACCTGCCGGCGCTATATTACATTCATCAAGCCGGTAAAGGAGCGCTAGCTTTTCTGTATCACACGTGTAAAGTTAACGAAGGTTACAAAATGACACCTTCGCAAAGCCGCGAACGCGAGCTTCAGATGCTAAATTACGCTGGTCAAATCCCCTCCGAAGATTCCTCACTAGACAACGTGGGCTCCACGGCTAAGAAAATTATGTTTATTCCCCCATGAGAAGCCCCACGTTTTTTGACAAGTTATTCGTGAACAAGAAAAGCTGCCGTGGCTCGGCGGCATAGGAATTTGGCACTCCGATGGGAACAATCGTGCAGTAATCACTAGAGTAAAAATGCGTTACTACAGCTCGCTCGGAATATCTGCATTTCTGACCTGGACCAGCATGAGGTCAGCTGGTTAATATCCGTTAATATCCAATTGTCGGGTTAAACGCGACACCGAGTTTCTTGCTAAAAACGAAAAATCCGACATTTCCTCCAGTAGAGCACCAGTATAATCACTTTCCCGTGTAGTGAATTGGTTTAAAATTCAAATGATTTGTAAGGGATGAATGTGTACCTCCGCGATCTCATGCTAATTCCGTCTGTCTCGTGTGTGAAATGGCACTGGTCACCTTTGAGAGAACATGCTTGTATGTTAAGATGACACACATGAAGCTGGCCGTCTCCGGCACGCCGAGGGAGCTCCGCGCGGAGGGATGCCTTTCCTCCGGAGAGGCAGACGGACTCGCCGGGCTTTTAATCGTCATTAGCATCGAAGTGCGCGGCAGGTAAAAGACAATAGAACAGCACGAGCAGGCTCGCGCGGGTCCTGCCAGAATCGACCGGGCTGTCTCACGCGAGGGATGTAAGGCGGAGCACCGCCACCCGGAGCGTGGGGTTTGTCCCCCACTCGCACCTTTAAAAAGCAACGGCTTATGACTGTGACGAGTTATTACTGCCGCGCCTATCACTGTGCGGCCGCACGGGGGAGACGCACCTTGAGTATTACCTAGCCGGATAAACAGCTGTCAAATTAAATTTGCATTAAAGCAGTATGTGGCGCCCCAGGAATTCTCACAACTGGGCCTCAGATATTTCAAAGCCTAAAGTAAATATGCAAATGTAAAAATGCAGTGCCACACGCTGGCCCCTCCTCAGCACACACACATGCAGCTGCCTTCAAAAAGCCGCGTTCACTGATGCTGTGATAGGAAGGCAGCGGTCGAAGAGTTTCCGATCAGCCACCCCAGTCCAGACTGAACAAAGACGCATCCACTCGTAGCTCAGTAAAACGCGCCCGGAGGTCTTGCTATTAACGTTCAACAACGAAGATGTGCCGTTTTCCCTGGGCACAGACCGGGGCTAGAAAAGACCGCTTGTTCCAGGCGACACACAGCCCTGTATTTAGTGCAGTGATACGGATGACTCACAGTGCATTCGTGTTCGTGCTTGCGTTTTATTCCGTTTGTGCGTGGGGTGAGGGCTATGACTGTGTACGTGGGGACACTATGCAAGATAGTCATTCCGGACCTACAGACAGTAGTGAGACTTCCCCACAGTGTGAAGGACGCTGCGTTCTAAACTACCTTATCTTAAATTTGACTAATTTAAAAAATGACAAAATTTGTTTCGGGGGCCATTTTCAATCTGTACGGCATTTCGGTGCACTGGTGGGTGGATGACTGTCAACTTTGTATGTCCCCCAAATATAACGTGCGTGGTTCAATAGCTAGGACGTTCCTCGTTGGTCCACAAAAGTAGAGAGAACGCGTTTGCCCTTTTTAAATACAATGTGGATTTTTTTTCCAGTGGGCAGGGTCCCCTTTGGCCTAGACATCTCACTCAGGCCCGTTAGTGTCTCGGAGTTGTTTGTATGATCATTTGTAGTTCCCAAAAAGAACACGCCGTCACATTCTCGCTGACACCTTACTTTCGCGTTCCGAAAATCTGCGATTACCTGGACGAGGCAGCTCGGTATCAGAAAGCTGTTAATTCCAGAAACTAATAGGATGAGAATGGATAAGTAGGAACGCGAGGGCAGTACCTTACAGCCCCAAACGAAAGCCAGATCTCTCTGAGACACCACAAAATATAGCCGATCAGAATGATTATTTTTTGTTCCTAAACGTGTTTGCTGCCCTTCCATTTTAAAAACAGCGGCTGCGGCTCCGTATTTTGAAAGGAAACAGAACTGCGCTCTTGCGGTGATATGCATGCATTTAAAAAAAAAAACATTCGTGTGTTTCAATAAGAAAAGCAGATGAGAAGTTTCCACCTGGGACTGTGACGGCGCTGCTCGACGGCTTTCTGGCGAAGCCGCTAGCTGAAGCGCGCGCATGTGTTCACAATGGCAAAAACAGGCACTGGGGTGGAAATTCGCCGGGATTTTGAAAACATGCAAATGGTTGTCATGGCGATGTATTATGAAAGATACAGCTGGTGGTATCAGGGATGAGTGCTTCGGAACCCAAGTCGTGTATTAGAGAGCTTAAAGATATTTGGTGGAATGTCTTACTCTTTTGTGTACACATTCCTTAACAAAAAGAAAAATATATCTTTCTGTACACTGTCGCCGGGTAATCCCTTCGTTATCTTTCTGACTCCCCTGCTACGAACTGAAGGGATCAATTTAAAACCAAAGACATCCATAACCGGCTTGGTCACAATATTAACGGGATTTAAAATAACAAACGGCGCAAAAAATGGAGACTTCGGTCTCCAGTCGAGGCGTTATTTAGTGTTTTGTTTCTTGTCTTATCTTATGACGAAGGCAGTTCATATGCTATAGATGGCAGAGAAATAAAAAGAGCACTTATCTGTTACTAACGTCTTGTCCGGGTTTATGGGGACACTGGCGGTTCTGGGAGATTGCACCTGTAGCAGAAGTCCTAGTACCTTAACATCGCTTAGGTTACATAATCCATTACGAAGTATCCTGCAGATCGGACACACGATAGTATCTACACCTATGACAATTACTAACTACTAATATGGGTGATGCTTTTTTCCCACAAAGCGACTCACATACAGTATGTACCCATGTATACAACTGAATATTTTACTGGAGTAATAAGGGTGAATGGGGCACAACAGCATTTTCCCACCTGGAAACCCGAAGAAGGCTCCACAGCTGAAACGTTGTGTTTCCTTTCTTCCCTTTTCAGCATAGAATAAACCTTTACCTGTTCCTTTTCCCACCTGGGATTTGAACCCACCACCTTCCACCCATGAGTCCAGAGCCCCACTCGCTGCTCCCCAACCCACACCCTGTGGATTTTAGAGAGGATGAGGACACAAGAGCACAGGGAACCGCCGATCCACAAACGTCTCGTATTACCCTTAATTATCATGGACCGGGGGCTGTCACTCAGCTGGAGAACGTTGTGGACCTATTTGCAAAAAAACAAACTTCAATCCACCACTATAAGCATTGTGTGTCAGGGGCCGCCACCTCCTCCTATAGTACACGTCTCTGAGCTACATACTCTACACACCTCTCTCTTCCCTTGGGAAGCGCCTTCTAGAATTTTTAAATGTTTCAGGAAATAAAAATAATTGGATTGAACTCCCACGCCCACTGTTACATCCATGGAACCTGGATATCGGAATAGCGGACCGAGCCCCCAAGTGCTGTGTGCTTGGGTCCAGAGTCTTTTCACACAGATGTGGCTGTGCTGCACTGCTGTGCAGGCACCCAAGTCCTTCTGCTGGGGAGACGGAGCAGAGCACTGCCAGCAATGCCTCAGCTCCGCGCAGCTAACTGCAACGGTTCTTCGGGTCTCCACCCTTGCCACTCCTGCCCTGCCAGCTCGTCCCCTCGATGCCTGGGCGCGAACCCGAGTCTCCAGCGTTACGCAACAGGGAACTTGCCAGCTAAGCTAAAGGAGACCTTCCTCAGCCCAGGCGGCTGAGATCCCCCTTATACACAGGGGTGCATTGGTTACATAAACATATCAAGAAAACATCAACTGCAATAAATACTATATGAGGTCCAATTTTAATCATTTAGCATGGTGAAACATGACTACTAAATCAGAGTATTTTAAGCATACAGCATTTGTACCATGAAGTGTGAAGATGTATATATGAAGGCTGTATAGGTTTTATTTTTATCTACCGCCAATTTTCCTTTCCATCAGGTTAGAGGGTTAATGTTGTCTCATTAAGGAGCTGAGCTTTCCTCGCCCCACCTTTTCCTATAGACGGCACTAGAGCCTGCATGAAAACATTCAAGGAAAGATCAAAAAGTCGTGCTTGTCCTCTCTCCAACATTGCAGCATCATCGTAAAGATTGGTCACAAAGACGGCTGTAGACCATAATTCAGTTGAGTAACCATTGTAACAGGACGGCTGGACTTTAATATGCAGTGAATCTCCAGATAAGGTCTTCATGGGCAAAGCCAAAAGGATCCTTTGAATAAGTATCTGATGAGGTCATGATGCATGAAAGATATCATCCCACCCCAGGAGATGTCCAATAGACCACCAAGATCAACATTTGAGCAATCTACTGCCGTAACTGGGTAAAACACCCAAACCTACTTTTAATATAATCATCTTTGCATACAATTGTAGACAACCGTTCTGTTTTTAATCAATCATTCTCTGGTCTGCAGTGGTGGCAGCCAGCCCTGGTCCTGGTATTCTTCTGGGCGGTCTGTTTGCCCCAGCCATCTTAATTGCAGGCTATTTGATTTCAGTTTGCTGCTGGAGGTATGTGCTTGAATTGGCTTTGAGCTTGTGGCTAAAAAGAACAATTTCTGAGTTTCAGAACATCCCTCTCTCGGGCCTGTACTCTAAAATGTAACCAGTGGGTCTTCTGCAGCCAAGAACAAGCTCATAGTGGGAGCATGTGACACACTGTCATTTGCACCTGGCTGTTCATCACAAACTAAATTGCCAATCGAGAGTCCTGGACAGCAAAAATTGAAGACACTTGAGTCAAGGAAAGAGTGCAGGGTGGCATGTACGCAAAAGCAGCTGGAAAGAATGCACCATTTCTGAAGCCAAAGGGTGCAGAAACAGGTCATTGAGAGTCTAAGAATGCAGATCAATTAAAGGCTCCAATTAGGACCAGTGATTACCAGCTGCACGGGAACATAAACCAGCAGATACAGGAGTCCCCCCGGGCTGGGAACACTGGTCTACAGAAATGCTTCGCTCACTCTACCTGGGAGAGACCATCTTTAGGAGGAAAGAACTGCAGCAGCCCGAGGAGCCTACACATTCTTTCAACATTTATCTGCCCCCAACCCCCACCCCTTTTCAGAGAGCATGAAGGGAAAACAAAGAAAGAGGCTGTTGGGTTTTAGTTTATTGTGCATTCACATCATTTTCCAAGATGTTAAAAATTTCAGAATCTGTTAAACACCCAGCTCCCGGTGTGATTTCATTAAAAAAAAAACACCAGACAACATTCGATATGCAGAACTCGCATACAAAATGTCAACTACACCTCCGTAACATTCCCATTTTAGTACTTAAACCCATGATCGGAATAACTGAAGGGACAAATATAGTCCACAAAGTTAAGGATTCAAATGGCTAAAAACCTTAAAATTGAAACCATTCCTGAACTACACTCACTTATATGTGGCTAAGCAGCTTCAGTATATAAAAGTGACAGAATCTATCCCAGAGTTCTGCACTGGTGTTAAATCAAGTACAGTCTCGCACAGACGTGCAAAGAGGCAATGTCTCATGAGGACTTCTCTATCCGAATATCAAACCGATTTCAAATCATGCTACAGTATCCGTGCATGGGATTTCAGCCCATGGTTGGTCACAACAAAACAACAACAAAAAAAAAAAAGCAACAAACGACGGCCACACAATCTGTGAGCAGGGCCTTCCCTCCTGCCCAGTGTGTGCAGGTCACAGGTCACTACCGCAGCCAAGGCAATCCATCAGGCTCTGGGTAAAAAAAACACCCGGCGCCTTTCCATCCTTTTACTTTTACCAGCAAGAGATGACTTCAGATTCCAAAATTAAAACTCTGGCTTTGAAAGAGAAAAAACAAGACTTAAAAAAAAAAACCATTACAACAGTGACATTCTTCTTGCCAAGAACTGACCCACCAAAAAAACCAGGAAACCCCAGGCCAGTGTCAAGGATCTGTCCCACTTCCTCTCGATTACAGAAACCACTGACCGTCCCTCCAGCCCCAACTACTTTCCTATAGCACTCAGCAGCAGAAAGCGGAACAGCTGGGAATTTATTAAAAAGAAAAAAAACCTTCATTTCCTGTAAAAAATAAACATTACAAATGTACAGCTGCATTTTTTTTTTACACAGACCCTTCATTTTCCAATGCAATACATTCTAATTATATTAAGAAAATCTGAAATTAGAAATAATTTACACTTACAAGTATGTATACTTTAGTATAACAGCGGAGGACAGAGAAGTCATTAACCCTAAAAAGTACAAAATATACACAAGAATATACAGAAAAATGTTCTGAAATGTACCCTATACTGTACCATTGCGCCACATCAATCCAATTCTACAGCCCTACAGGACACCTCAAGGAAAAAAAGGACTATATAGCTGCCACCTCCTCAATTTAAGAGACAGCCCACCAGAAATCAGACCTAAAGCACCAGTGAAATAGAAGGCCAAGAAATTATCAACTTCTTTTTTTTGCCTGTCTCTTTTACTCCAGAGTCTTAAATCTTCCTGAAAAGATGATTCCAGTCACAGGCTTATAGGATATCATTGGCTTGGTGTCGTTTTCCATAATCTATAGCACGGTCTCCTTGAAGTTCTCGATCTTCATCATCTGTAAAACAAGAGAAGAAAGAAAACCCCTCTTTAAGAAAAAGGAAAAACTGCACATGGATGGCAAATTGGGAAACGGGCAGCGATGCCTTGAGGTGCCAGTGTTGGACTTCCCCCAGATTCATCTGGGCAGGAAGTTGGTATGTTGCCTACCACTGCAATGGAAGCCAGCAACCAATCAGGAAGCTCCTTCAGAAAACAGTACTTGGAGGTTGCAGGTCATAAGGTCACAGTAGTCTACAGCATCACAGAAAGGGCACTGATAGGACCATGTTTTAGAATCCCCTAATAACTCAATGGTTAATAGGATCTCTCCCTTCTGTTGCATTGTCCACGCCACAAGACCATATGTAGGACACCTTGCTGTTGCATTTTCTCTCTCCCAACTTACTGTCTTTTGTAATATAAAGCCTAAGCAAAAAAATAGAGAAATCTGGAAACCCAGATACTTTTCCAGCTGAGCTGCTGGAAAGATGATGTTGAGCTCATTATTTTCTGAACCGTGGTCAGCACAAGGCGTCAACGCTAGACCCTTATTTCCTCAGCGACATACATACATACATCAGCTCACCTTCACGCGGTGCTTTTAGAACCTTTGCAGCACAGAAACGGCAGAACATAGAGCAGGAAATGGATAACGCAGAGCAACAGCACGCAGAGGGGGAGCTCCACGTCAGAAAGCCGGTTCTCATGAAATGGCAGCACTCCCACAAAAAAAGCAACCCAGCTGAATATCGAAATACCGAAACAGGATGAACTCTACTGCAGGTGACGTGACTATGTCATAAGACACACGCAACATGCATGTAATACTGACAAACAATCACCGCGAAGACGGGTAGGCTACTCTGGCCCTGCAGTGCCACGTTTCCTTCTGGTTTTCATCCCGTCCCAGATCTCACCTTCACTGAACCACTGAAGTGGATAAGAAGTCAAACCAGTTTTGCTTTCTCCGGGCCCCAGTGAGAAGCCCAGAGACCCCGCAGGAGCCTGGCACTGTCGAAGCCCGGAGTTGCCCACGCCTGTGTCTGGAGCCTCGTGGGGGTGCACAGGGGAAGGGGGGGGACAGCACAGGGTGGCGCAGTCCAGGACAGCCGCTCGGGCATGCGCACAGCTGGATGAAGCATGCAGGCGCTGGGGGGGGGGTCACGACACCTTGAGTTATCTGAGAACGAGAGACTCGCCCACACCTCGGCCCACCTGCGCTGCCGGCTCGTCCCGCGGGACAAGGGCGAAGCCCTGTGGCTTCCAGCCCTGCCGCGAACAGAGCTCCAAATTCAAGCTCGACGGAACTTCACACAGAAATATTTGCTAGCCATTGCAGTCCGGCAACTGCTTATGCAAGACTTGGGTCTCGAAAAGCTGCATCGACACTACTTTAGAAAATGCCAATAGATGCTCACAGTATACCCTTTTCACTGAATGGCTCAGGTCATTCCAGGATTTTTTAGATTCAAACTCCTGCTGCAGACCAGTGTGGTCTACAAATCAGAACACAGCTGATGCAGGTAGCTGGCAAGTCTGAAACAGATCTTTATTTTCCGTTAGACTTGGTAGTGATGATGGGGGTGGGGCTGGGGCTGGGGGGGGTGCCAGATAACTCAAGGGGGGAATGAGGGAGACGCAGTGGCATGGAAACACAGCCCAAGCTCACCTTGGACGTCTTCTTCCCCACCATCACCATCCTCTTCCTCATTGTAGGCCAGCTCGGCCTGCTTGTCCGCCTCATACTCACCCACGTTACCGTCGTCCCCGTTGTAGTCCGCAAGCTTAGAGCCATGCTGCGGATCTACAGGGGACTCGTTCTCATCAAAGAACCGGCCTGTGGGGGCAGAGAAGTCCGCATCAGGAGGAGAGGGATAGAGAGAGAGCGGGGGGAGAGAGGAGAGAGGAGAGAGAGAAACGGGGAAGATAGCAGGAAAGAGGAGGAATGCGTGCAGAAAGGCAGGAGAAGAGGAGTCAAGTCGCACTGGGGTCCCTGCCCCCCCAACTCCACACGTGCCTCCACACTGCCCGCCCATCCCACACAGGGGTACGTGGGTCAGCAAGCCAGAAGGGGGGGGGGGCAAACGCCCACAATTACAAGGAAAGCCCGACGACTCCCTCTGTCAAACACGACAACACGACAACAACAACAACCATTTCGTTTGCAAAAAACGGAAGTGATAATAGCCGCCACCTGCTTTTCATTTTGCTTTCTAGGGATACAACAGTTCCTTTCTTAGGAATTCATAGCTTCTTCCCTACCGCTACCAGGAATGCTAGAGCACTCTGGTCGGATTGCCGTGTAAGCCGTCTTCAGCCCCTCAAAGACGCTAGGGACACAGCAACCCGACTGACTGTTGTCGACAGTCATTCCTTCTCAGGAAGAACAGCCTCTCTGTGTCCCAGATTGTCTGGGGTCTCGCAAAAAGCAACGAGCACCGCGTCAGTCTCCACCGGGACGACCCGAAAATACTTAAAACAGTAAGGACAGAACTAATCCGTGGAGTTTTGAAGCATTACAAAACTGTGACTGACTCTGGCAGCGCTGCGCTTCAGAGAGAGAACCCGTTGAATAAAGGAGAGGCACAGATGCGCTGAAAAACGCCCAGTGTTACAAGACCGGGCAACGTTCCCTTTCGGTCAGGGAGGAATTGGAAAGGAGGGAGAAGGAACTGAAGCACCCAAGCTTTTGCACTGGCAAGATGTACCAGCACTACAAAGGAGGTTCACTGCAGCAGGCTCTTTGTTCATGCCGCTGTGGAAATCCGACAGGCCTCAGGCATCAAGATCACACTCCATTCTCAGTGGTTAAAACAGCACTGCCAACCCTTGCGCACACAGAACCGCAGGGGTGCGATGAAGCACCATCAACACTCTTGCACACACTAAAGCCAGGATGAATGACCCAACAGCCACACGCGTGGATTTCAGGGACAGCTTCATTGACACGCTAGCTGCTTCCCAAGAGCCTCCCACAGTCGCCAGGGACTGAAGGCATGTACCTCCTAGAACAGCGTTCGTTTTGCATGTTTTCCATACCAACAAAAACCAGCTGCTTTATAAACTAAAAACGAGTGCTTCTAAGTGAACAGGCTGTCTGTTTCCATGCACAAGCTGTTAATGGGCAGCTCTCCGACAAAACAAGGTTGTTTTCTCTGCGCAGAAATAAACATGCAAAGCGAACAGTGTCCTAGAGGACCTACAGCTGCACCCTAAGCCCGGGTGCGAAGGGCCGTCCAGATCAGTTTATTAAAGGGGGCCCAGGAGGCGCACGGTGTTAGCCCTAAAAGGCCAGCTCAAAGGGGCTTACTCTGTCTGTGCTGGGGGGGGTCGGCGGGTTGCTGGTCCTGGCCGGCCTGGTGCTCATTGGGCTGTGGCAGCACCTGCACGGGATTGGGGGGAAGCTGGAGCCCCCCATCTTTGGCAGCACGATGGTCAGGCTTGTCATTAATGGGAGCTGTGGAACCACAAAAAAAAACAAAACACTGCCATTATTATTGTTGTACTCCATCGCCCTCAGTATGTAAGGCTACTGAACTGTGTTACTGGTTTTGCACAGCGGAACATATAGGTTAGGCTCTGGCACAGTGCATTTATCCAGCTCTTAGTTCAAGCCGATGTTTGAGATTTCCTCCTCTATATTCCTAAACAATTACTGAATGCTCCCCACCCTAATGGCAGTGCTGAAACTAGTAGTAAAAGGCATTATTGCAAACAGGGATCCTGCACATTTTAAAGAACTCTGGCCCCAACACCCTTAGATGGGTGCATTTATTATTTTTTTAAAAATCACTCTTTTTAAAGCACACAACTGTTTTCACTGCTTGCTCATAATTCAACAGCCCGACCAGATGAGAACCGCAGAGCCAGCAGCTTGAGAACCCAAGCTCAAGTAAAAATCCTACAGATACTTGCAAAAGTTGTAAAGTGCAGTTCTGGTGTTAATTCTATCAAAATGATCTGATCAAGAGGCAATAAAAACACAAATGAAAACCAGTTCCATAACGGATCAGATCAGTTCCATTTTTAATGCCTCTCAGCAAAGACCCCTCCTCTGAAGGGAGAATAGGGGTGCTGAAGTCAGAGCTCGGACACTCTGTGCGCCTGGTCGATGGGATACCTGCAGCTGCAGAACACGCACTGCGGAAAGTTTGTGACGCCCAAGATAAAAACAGAACCTGGGCTCTCGGTCAAACAAAACATACGCCACGCGCCACAGAAAGTTAAAAACACAGAACTGCACGTTACTGTGCTGAAAATTCCAGTATGACTAAGTGCTGATCACGATTTTCACTTCAGTTAATTCAGGCTGTAAGAAGCCTGGAATAAAAAAAAATTAAAAAAATCAACCCTCCCCTTCTAAACAAATCACAAACACGGAAAGTCTGATGCAGCTCACATTCTGGAACCGAGCATAAAGGAGGCCCTTCCTGAGGATCAGCAGCAGTGTGCCGGCGGCCTGCCGTGACAGCAGCGGGCAAGAGAACGAGCACGCCACCTGCTGCCTCAGCGGGCACTGCACACACCCTCTCTACCCCTTCAGTCCAGCTGCATAAAAAAAACCCAGAGAAATTCTGAAGACGCTGAAACAGTTTAGTCAGCCCAAGGACAAAGCAAATACCGGCCCTCTCTGCTGCTGCTGAAGCCCTTGCAGCTCCAGCTGTGTGAAGATGCAGGCAGAGGCTACACTGCAGCACTGCGTAATCCAAGTGGGAGTTCACCTTTTTTTTTTTGGAAGGCAATGCTGCTGAACATCGTTAGAGAGTGCCAAGAAAACCGATTTGGTTTTGGGACTCGTGCCACACATAGCCTCCTGACCCCCCCCCCCCCCCCGCCAGACAACTTCTGCAACAGAATAATAAGCAAAATGCCTGCAGCTCTTTTTTTTGTAATCCTAGAACCCATTTGTTTTGGCATGAAGACACCGGAAAACTGGAAATCGAGGGACAAAGTGATCCCCTAAAAGCAAAGGGCCCCATCAAGGTCCTGACAATCCTACAAGTCTAAAGCAGTTTGTTCTCAAAATGGCATTATTTCTTATTTTAACATTCATCTACCATACACACTAGTTCCAGTTATGCCCGATAGACACCGATAACATCGACAGGGTTTTGAAGGATTATACGACGTGCAGGTATCAACCACCTCCGCTGTCCCAAGGAAGACGGACCCCAGTCTGCTGAAAGAGGAGCTGAACGGCGGGGGGGGACGCACCTCTCATCTGCCTCCTGCGCTCTCCCAGCTCGTCCGCCTTGAGCCCAGCTTTGCCGTCCTCGAACATCCTGGGGTTATCCGCCGCGGGCTGCGGCGCCACCTGCTGCTGCTGGTCAGCGTTGCCCGGCTCCGCGTACTGCTCGGCGCCGACCTTCGGGGCATCCAGGCCCCGCGGCTCTCCCTGCGCGCCCTCGCGGCCTCCAGCCGGCCTCTCCCTCGCGGCCTCGGCCCCGCCCGCCTCCGGCTTCATCAGCGTGATCGCCGGCTTCTTCAGGGCTGGCAGAGAGCGTCACGAGAGATCAGTCACTCCCGGTGCGAGGAACACTCACGCGGCAGACTAGAGGCCAAACAGCTACCAGGATACCGCCGCAGGACGGGTTCTGCTCAGAAGCCACCCAGGACAACAAGCCCCACTGAACAGGGAAGACGGAAACCTTCATGACGCACAGAAGATGGCAAATACATTACTACAAGGGGGGTTTGATGAGCACTGTGACTGGATCTTACGAGTCCCCAAGATCATTCAAGACGAACAGGGTCTTGATCCAGGGCTGGCGTCAGTCACCGGGAGAACTGGAGGAAAGCTCAGTGTCAAAGCAGACGTCTTACCGAAATGCATGTCCTCAACTTTGCCCACTTCGCTGTCCTCAATTCCGGGCATCCCGGCGTCACTGCCATGCTTGACGACGCCTGCAGAACAGCGAGAGAGGTGCACTCAGCCACACATGTCGAGTGGAGGGTCTAGGGGGCTTCTGGGGTCCCCACATCCAAGACAAAAGTCCGCTGCCCGCTACACCAAGCACAGGGAAACGCATCTCCTGACCAACACTAGCAGAAGAGTATAAACAGCTTTAAACAAATCTGCATTAAATCTGGCTTGTAGACTGAAACCCCAGGATTGTCCATATCTCTTATAAGCACAGAACTGAACCATAAAGCCTCCTGCAAACGCCACTCTCCAGTCTGTACTGGTGGGAACAGGGTGAGCCATCGAAACCTGGGCCATCTATTTTTCCACCTACAAGCAGCACACAGTTCAGGCAAGACAGGAGCTCATGGGCCATTCTAGACGCCACATGTACTCCGTGCGTGTGGTCAGGTGCTAGGAAGAGAGGCGCTGGTTGACTTTCACGTAGGTTGCTTGCATAAGCACACTTCCGTTTCGAATTCTGTTTATTTGCGTGGACAGGCTAGGCCGAGGCGGGAGGTCACCTTTCTGCTCTCCGCTGTCCAGTTTGTGGGTGGCCTCTGTGTGCAGGCCATCAGCGTGCTCAGTGTCACTGCCAGCAGGGCCTGCTCGGTCCTCCTTCAAAGAGTGTGTGGAAGCAGGGTGATTGACTTTGTTCTGCAAAGACAGAGCGAGCAGTGAGCAGGGGGAACAGACCTCTCTCCCCTATGTCCAAGTTTCTCACCTCTGGATTCCTTACCACAGCTAGTCATGCGATAAATGCAGCTGGGGGTAGTAAGCGATTGATTTTTAATGAGAATATAAAAAGATGTACTATTTTCTACCACCAGGGGGAGACGGAACACCAAGCACCGACCGGACGATAAAAATCTCCATCCATAAGATAAAAAAAAAAGTGGTAAACCTAAAAATCAACAAAGGCTTTTTTTTAATGGCAGGTAGGCTTTCTTCCCCACCGCTATTCTGATTACTGTAACCTCAACTAAACAACATTAAAAAACAGCCCAGTTCCTGAACGGCATATTCTGAAACCCAAAAGAGATTTCTCATTCCACTTCTAAATGAAAACACCTCATGCTGCTTTTGGTCTTCCGTCAGGCACATCTTCAGAAAACAACATCTCTGCTGCTCACAGAGGGTGGGCAAGATGTGCGAGATGAGAAGCAAGGCTATCTAGTGATGATCTAACCTCCCGAAACCACCTGGCTCATGAATGGGGGACGATCTTACCCGCTGAATGTCCTCGGCGTCGCCCACCGCTCTCTTCATCTTCTCCTCATACTCAGACTTCAGCTCTGCGATCTGCTGTCCACACTGCAGGCTGCGGAGGCAAGGACAGGCTGGTGAATTACACAGGACTGCTCAGCCGATTCCACACACTCGTCTTATGGGGTCATGAGTACATGCAGCTGCTATGGATTATGGGCACGAATACTAATTAGCTCTTGGCCTTTCACAATACTGAGGGGGAGCAGCATGGCACCCAGAAGCCTCCAAATTCCACTTTCTGCGCAAAACGTAGCAGCCGTGAACAGCTGCATCACCCTTATTATGATTCAGCAGCGTGGTACCGCTAAAAACAAGCAGCAAAACTGAGGCATCGCACCCGTGTTGCAAGCAGCATTACAGATGGGACACAATGGTCAAGTCATTGAGAGAAGAAACAAAGCTTGGAGGGGTCTGAAATTACTCTAGAACAGCAGGGCCACACCACCGTCTCTTCATATAGAGATCGCGCGCGTGCTGCACAAGACAGCTGAAATCTACAGACAGAAAAACACATAGGTTCCTTTAGTACAGCATTCAAAAACTGAGCTTTAGGAAAAGAACACTTGAGACAAAATGACTTGTAGAGGACTGCTTGGTTTCAGTGGCCATGAGACCTGCAGGTAGACCATCCCTCTGCTAGCTAATCCTGTCAGAGCTGCACTTCACTGGGGAAACTGTGCCTCTTCGGAAGGATATTTTAGCTTCCCTCCGACTATTCCTTTTAGACTGTTAACATTAATTTCAAAATGATCTCGGCATGTCATTTTTTTTTAAAAAGGCTGAGAAAGACTGTCCCAGATGGTTCAGTATCTGACCAGGTTGCTCCTATGTGCTCAGTGTCCCAGACAGATCACCGTCACCCTAAAGACTGCAAAGAGACAAGAGCCAAGCTCCTGTCGTGTCCCTGACATTTTCCTTTCACCAGAAAGCACGCAGAACTTTAACACCCACTCCCTCCTCCAAGTGCAAACTGGATTTCATGAAATGTCTTTTTCTTAATGCAGTTTGGACCTTTATCAACGGAAGCAGAGTCTGGAACCGTCCTGAATTGAGCAAGGGAAGGTTTCAGATTTCATTTCCTGCAGACTACCCCTTAAACAGGAGCTCACTGGACACCGGAAAAGCTCATTTAATCCACTTGATGGGTTCCATATAAAACTGAAATCACTTACAACAGAAAGGGACTATCTGCAGTGCTTTCATCTCTGGTCCCAGAGAGAAACACACGACTAAGACAAGTTCTCCTCGGTTTTAGGTTTAGCGCTTGCTGGGCTGTCACAAAGAAGGCGCGAGCAGCTTCCGGGTCCTCCAGTGTTCCGGGATTGCCAGCGCATCGCGCACGAGCGCAGCAGCATCCCGCGGGGAGTGACATCGGTGTCCCTCTCACCTCTCATACTCCAGCTTCTTCTCCAGGAAGGTGCTGTTCTTCTTGGTCTCGTGCAGCTGATCCTCCAGCTTCATAAACTCCTGCCGCAGCTCCTCCAGCTGCTCTGTAGGGCAGAGAAACATCAACACGCTGCACAGCTCCCCGATCGCATCACACGAGCCCAGAGCTCTGTTCAACAGGGAACACCAACTGCTGCCGGCACAGGACTAAAGCATGAACCCTACTGCAAATATCACACTCCTAAACGTCTGTACCGGCTAGAACTGGGGGAGGCATCGAAATCTGGTATGCCAGCTCTGCTATTCAGCTCATTACCAAACTCTGCCAAGGCGTGCACTGCATTCAACCAGAAATCTGCACTACTTACCTTGCAGCCGCTGGATTTCCGAGCGCTGGGTCGACTGGACACTCTGGAGTTTCGTCTGAGGAAGAAAAACACAAATCGTGATTTGTCGAGGACCTTAGCTCTACACTCCATTAGCAGAATTGATTCAACAAAAGCCCTGCTCCTTATCTTTACAACCACACTCCTAACCCTCCCTTCACACAGAGCCTGTACAGCATCAAGCAATCACTGCTCTTGGAAGCAGGATGCCGCGTGACAGTCGAGTCTCTCTTGACTCGGTCTGGAATACAGTATCCACTGGATTACAGCCGAGTCAAGTGCACAACTGAGGGAAACGGCTACCCGTTTGTTAAAGGCAGTATTTGCAGGTCACCAAACGGCTTTTACAACGCTCCTCATTTAAAAAGAGGAACTGCAGTGACAATTTCTCAGACAGGTTATTAAATCTCAGCAACAAAATACGTTTGTTGGTCATGAAATAGAATTTCTTTAAAACTAATTTCCAATGAAGCACAACATCGTGAACTTTGTGAAAGTACTTTAGGTCACCATGTTGTCACAAACCCCTGGTCTTGCCAGAGGCAAGAGTGAAAGTTCACAAGGACTGCGACCTGAAGGGGCCCCTCCTGCTCACTAGTCACCGTAATGACTAACGGAACGTGATGCATGAGCGAATGAATACAGGATGTGCAGCAGACATTTCACCACAGAACTGTTCCAACATGATCCATATGTAGAGTTAACAAGCAAGCAGGATTTGTCGGCAAAACCATGAGGAAAACAAAAGCAATATTTCCGCGTGGAGAAAAAGGGATGTACAGTATTCACAAGCCTGCTTGTTTACAATGTCATACAGCCGCAACACGTCACCAAAAAGTGTTGTTGCCTCGTACTGAATTACAGAACATGGCGCTGTGCATACCTGGAAATGTTGTCCATTTTAGGATGTACACGATAACTTGTAGAACCTCCAATTTACATTTTACTTTTAATAAGGTTTCAAAAGCACTTATCAATGCCGATTTGTTCTAACTCCGAAATATGAAAATAGCGTCGCAGTTCCCCTTTAAAATGGAGCTGACAAAAAAAAACTCCTTTTCTACAGAAAGGGTGGAATGTGGAGGAGCCTAGTGACTGTGTTAAGACCACACCTGCTACTCTTTGCACTGCAGGATCTTTTCTTGCGTAATTTATAACAGACATAGTGACATAATTAAGAAGTGAATTGTGCCAAGGGTCTGGAGCAGGGCTGTAGACTCCTGCCGTAATGCAACACGGTGTCCAGCGACTGGTGAGGGTAGGAGAGGCAGGAGGACATGACCTGTGCAGATGAAGGCAAGTGCCTCACAGCCTGATGGAAAACCGGTTTGGCAGCACTGTGCTTAATCCCCGAGACACCAGGCGGAGGAACAGAAGACACTTGAGCCTGTGCAATCTCCAATCACCGCACAGACAAGAGAGATGCCTCCTGAAGAGCTCCACCACAGGCAGTGCTGATCGCCGAGGATAAGCAGCCTGGGTCACTGACCCCTGGGACCCGCTTCTAAAGCCATCACTGTACCACGGCACTGCAGATGCACGTACTGTAGCCTCTCCCCACCACTGGTCATGCCTAGAACAGCTGGCTTCGAAACACCGAGTACTAGGAGATCAGGGTACGGTTCGGCAGGTTTTATACCTTAAATCATCAGAGAGCAGCAATCTGGAAAGCAAGCGTCTCTAATTTAGCAACAGATCCAAGTCAAAGATCGTATGTCAAGAAAACCACAAAGCCCCTCGTGGTTGTCAAACGACAGGGCTCTGGACACCCATGCTATTAACCACCACGCTCTTAATTTCCCATACCCCTCACTCAGTCTGCCATGCAGTTCAGTACATCCATGTCTGTATGATCTGAAGTCCCCGGGCCTCCCAAGGACCTGTAGCCTGCATGGGTGCCTGCGACTCAACGCAAAGTACCGGACAGATCCTGGCCAACTCTGCTGTTTCAGCTGCTAATGCAACTCAAAGCTCTCTGCGAGTACTCTTTGGAAGCTGCCTGATATTAGCACCAAGATGGCATTTTCTATCAAATTTAAAGGCTCTCTATGTTGTGACTCAGAAGCACTTAATGGCACATAAAGAAGGCTCTGCTGAAAAACATGGTTCAACGATTAAATCAATCCTTCAAGTGTGATGACTTTGCGAGGTGAAGGCAGTACATATTGTTATAAAGCAAGCAAACAGGGAATAAAGGAGAACCAGGAGTCAGCAAGATGACTTTGCACACTGACAAAGGGAGCTTATGAAGCCTGGCAGACAGTCTGCAGATGCAGCAGGATGAAGAGATGTTTCACAGGATAAAAAATAATCCAGGTTTCTGGTGCAATATAAAAACATCCACCTGACGTTCAGCGACAGACAAACAAGCAAAGTCTTACAAAAACATACTGGAAAAAAATAAAACATACAAACTAGAAATTCCTAGTACAGGATAAGGGCTCCATCGACAGCATTCGAGGCTGAAATCGACTGGGCAAACAAGGCAAAAATTAACCTTCAAAATATGAATTTTCTGGTCCATTCTGAATTTATGCTTGGGATTGGTTTGTTTTCAGTTCAGTAAATGAAGCAATTAAAGAGGCCAATGGAATCACAATTTAAAATGGGACCGAGGGCGAGTGTGCATCTGTTCAACAGAAAACACTCACATTAATTACTGATCTGTCAAGAGGGAAGGACGGCCATTACTCCTTGTTAAAGATGAGCTCCACTGACCTCTGGGAGATTCATGGGCTCAGCAGATGGAAAGAGAAGAATTACCAGGGAAAGTTCAACACCACAGGAATAAGAACTACAATCTGCAGATCTGCAGGGCTTGATAGAAATGAAGAAAAAGTATTCAAGCACTTCTTGCAAGATTAAATTAGCCAGCAGAGCAAAAATCGCAGACTCTGCCCACCCCCAAGGTTTTGCTTGTGCCAAGTATTCCGAGAAAGGGACAATATCAGAAGCACAAAAGAGTTAAGGAATCATACATCTGCGAAAAAAGGCTTTAAAAAAAAAAAGACACAGGCATATGCATTTAGAAGAATTTTCAGATTTGATTCTTCTGTTACAGATGGATGGCGACCTAGGAAGACCACAACAAGGGCAGCATTTTTTGCCTTTTGTTATCTGCTCTGTGATGCCTGCCAGGCTTGTGTCGGTAAGCACGTCTGCCTAAAAACAGCACAGCCAGCACTGTGCAGAGCCCCAGCTGTTCTGGAACACCGCTGCCCTGTAGCACTGTACAAAATGCTCCAAAAACCTTTAATGTGCAGTTCAAAGCTAATCATTTATCCTTTTTTTTGAGACACTGCAGCACTCCTTGAATTTCAATTGAGTATTACCCAAGATGCGACAAATACTACTCTTTTCTGCAAAGCAGAATGTATCCTACAGAATTTTCTGCATAAAAAAATGCCTCCATTCTTGTGCAGCAAGAAACCTTCAACATGGTTTCTGCTCTCCAAAGCGGCATTTCTCCCGATAAACCTCCCCCCCTCCAACACACACTCTCACTTACAAAGCTGAGAATTCAATCACCGAGCCTGGCGTTGAACCACCTCAAGAGAGACTGGGGGGGAGGTGTCTGGCAGTTGATTTTAACCTCCTCACTGCAGGAAGAAAAAAGAGCCGTGCAATGCGTACAGCAGTGTCAGTGCGTGTGTGGAAAGTCAATATCGTGAGGAAGCCGAGCCTGCGCTTTCGCACAACGAGGTCTGTTTGCAGAAGTCAGTCTGGGACGCTTCTTGTAAGTGTGTCACTGTGTTTGTATGTCAATGCATCTGCTGGTCTTTGTCTCCCAGTGCATCTCTCCACTGCAGACATCAGCCTGCCTGCGTGTTTCCCTTTGTCTCTGCAGCCTGGGCATCTGTTTCGCAGACTGCACCACACAGCCCTCGGCCACTGAACAGATGCAGCGCAGGACCGGCTCCTCGCTTGCAGCTCACAGAAAAGCGGGTCCGAGGTGGAGCAGTGCCGCCGCTGGCCTCGGTTCTTGCCAGCTGGCTGCAGGGGCTCGGCTTCCAAAGGGCAACAGCCTGAAAACAAGGAAGTCGGCCCCGCAGAGATCAGCACCCTGGCGTGGAGATTAAGGGAGCTTCTCCGTTTGGGTCCAGGCTCTTTTCAGCATTGCGTGACCTTGTTTCTCGGCCCTGGGCTCCACACCTCCTTATTTCTCTCTGTGCAAGACAGCAAAAAGGCCTTGAGCAAACCCCGTTTATTCACTGACGATTGTTTTCAAGAAAGAGAAAGCACTGAGCAAAGTCAGGAATCATTACAATAGACAAAGAAACTGGACCGTGGCTCAGAACTGAGAAACCGCAGGGGCTGAGCTTCATTTTAATCACTTCTAAAAGGACCAGAATCAATCCACTGACTGCTTTAGCACCTCAAGCATTTATCCCAACAACTTAGTGTCATTATGCGCTTTGAAACATGTTGACAAAATCATAAATCACAGTTACAGCAGCAGTTCATTGAATTGTGTGGCTTTAATACTGTGCCCTGCAACAGCCTGGTATAGCAAGCAAGTCTCTGGACTCTGGGCACTCTGGGGTGGGTTCAGCAGTGCAGATGCTGCTGTTATACCTTTAGAGAGGTACTTTACCCTGACTGTAAGCTCAGCAATGGTCCAGCATCTCATCCAGGGGGGAGGCAGAATCACGTGTTCTGGTCTCTTAACTCAATGGAAACCAGGATAAGCACTGGCTCGGTAAGCAGTTGTTGCTGGAATGTAAAATGCTGGAATTCCTCTGGCCAGAAACCCACTGTAGCAGCCAGCAGGTTTGGCTGCTCCAAAGGCTCATCTCAACGAAAGGTTCACGAGCTCAGCTAGCAGAAGCCAGCTACTCTGCAGCAGGACAGATCCTCCAGAAAAGGGGAGAGGAAGGAACATGACACCTCACAGTACACAGGAGGGCTGGCCTGGCCGGTGAGCTCCGGTTGGCCATGAACCCATCCACACCCCAAGGTCTGAGGGCCTATCTGGAGAGAGCAGGAAACAAAACTGCACGACAAAGTTTGCCCTGAAGCACAAAAGTTTTGGAACCT